GAGCCACCCAGGTGCCCCAACATTTATTTATTTTTGAGAGACAGAGAGATGCAGAGCATGAGCAGGGGTGGGGGAGAGAGAGAGGGAGATACAGAATCTGAAGCAGACTCAGGAGCTCTGAGCTGTTTGTTAGCACAGAGCTCAATGTGGGGCTCGAACTCACAAGCTGCGAGACCATGATCTGAGCTGAAGTCGGATGCTCAACCAACTGAGCCACCCAGGCTCCAAGTCCTGTGCCCCAAGTCCTGTGCCAGTTTTAAAGGTCAGGGGTACTTACATTAAGCCAGAAAAATAGCTCTTGGCCTTTTAGCAGGGCACCCTCCAGGGGAAGATTTAAACTGGAATTACGGTATGAAATTATTTTTGAAAGAAGATTCTTTAAAAAGAATGATGAAATTATCTCACCACACAAGGAAAAATTTAAACAACTCTTTGAATAATTTTAAAATGAAAAAAAAAATTTTTTTTTAGAATAGAGTGGCTACAGGCAATAGATAGCATGACATGACTGAGGCCTGCCACATGGTGGCAGTGTTTCTCCAGGGATAAAGATTTAGCTGCCTAGGACTTTAGAAAAAGCAAGCCATTTCTCACACTTAACTCCAGAAGAATAGTAGTACTAAAATTTAACATGGGAGGCTTTCTCAGTGTTCAGAAAGAGTGAAAGAAAACATAATTTAATCAACTGTTCCCTCTAAACTTTCATAAGCCTTTGGAAACTGCTTTCGTTTGTCTGCCAGTGAGCAATTATAAATACAACTTTCAAATAGGCTGACCACGTTAAATCCTGTGACTTATTTTTTCATGGATATGTAATGTCAGGATTCCTTTTTTATTTTTTCATTTTATTGTTTTTTTTTTTAAATTTTTTTTTTTTCAATGTTTATTTATTTTTGGGACAGAGAGAGACAGAGCATGAATGGGGGAGGGGCAGAGAGAGAGGGAGACACAGAATTGGGAACAGGCTCCAGGCTCTGAGCCATCAGCCCAGAGCCCGACGCGGGGCTCAAACTCACAGACCGTGAGATCGTGACCTGGGTGAAGTCGGACGCTTAACCGACTGCGCCACCCAGGCGCCCCCATTTTATTGTTTTTTTAAGTCTATCCATTTATTTTGGGAGAGAGAGAAGAGAGTGCACAGGCACGAGCAGGGGAGGGGCAGACAGAGAATCTCAAGCAGGCTTCACAGCATCAGCACAGAGCCTGATGCGGGGCTCAGTCCCATGAAGCAGGAGATAATGACCCGAGCTGAGATCAAGAGTCAGACACTCAACTGACTGAGCCACCCAGGCGCCCCAGAATTCCTTTTATTTTTATAATGTTTATTTATTTATTTTTGAGAAAGAGAGCACAAGTGGGGGAGGGGCAAAGAGGCAGAAGGAGACACAGAATCTGAAGCAGGCTCCAGGCTCTGAGTCGTCAGTGCAGAGCCCAACACTTAACCAACTGAGCCACCCAGGTGCCCCCAGAATTCCTTTTTTTATATTGATTTTATGTGACATAAGGATAGATACTAGTAGTATCTACTTTCTATGACCAGATTAGGTGTGGTCAGTACTGCAAAGTATTTCCTGTAGAAATACTTCCTGGTGATCTGCCACTTAAATCCATTTGAAATTCAGTCTGATCTGATTGGATTGGATTCAGTGTTTTCTACTTAAATATAATGAAAGCAAGGCTCTGAGAAGCTAAATGACTTACCTAGGTTTACAAAGCCATTTATTGGACAGGTTTAGGCTAATCTCTGCAAAGTGAACACCCCAGAGCTTCCTCTTGCTGCCATCTATCAACTTCATAAACAGAGCTTGTTGGATGATTAACCTTGAGAGTCAAAGGAGAGAGAAGAGTCAAAGTGACTCCCAGGTTTCTAAATTGGTGAATGATGGATTATGGTGCCAACCACCAAAATTGAAACTGTAGATTGTTAATTCCAAATACAGACTCACTTTAGATTAGCACAGTTAATTAATAGAATAAAAGGTTTCCCTTTCCTAGCTCACTCATTCCACTCATTGTCGAAATCAGAACTCTCTTTTTATGTTTTTCTGGTGGCTGAATAGGTGTTTTTCAAAGAGAACAAAATGCTAATTAGTTCTGAAAATGCTAATATCAGGACTATTATCTCAATTACTCACTTCCAAACAGAGTTCAAGAATAATATACTTGTTGGGGCGCCTGGATGGCTCAGTCGATTAAGCATCTGGCTGATTTTGGCTCAGGTCATGATTTCACAGTTAGAGAGATCAAGCCCAGCATCAGGCTCTGTACTGAGTGGAGCCTGCTTGAGATTCTCTCTCTCCCTCTCACTCTGTCCCTCCCCCACTCTCTCTCTCTCTCAAAATAAATAAATGCACATTAAAAAAAGAATAATATTATAATTGTCAAGTGATCAAGTTAGTTCAACAAATATTGACTGATTTCCTTACAATGAGCCAGATATGTTCTTTTTTTAAATTTTTTTTAACATTTATTCATTTTTGAGAGACAGAGAGAGGCAGATCATGAGCAGGGGAGGAGAGAGAGAGAGAGAGAGAGAGAGAGAAAGTGAGAGAGAGAGAGAGAGAGAGAGAGAGAGAGATGGATGCAGAATCTGAAGGAGGCTCCAGGCTCTGAGCTGTTTGGTAGCACAGAGCCCAACATGGGGCTCGAACTCACGAACCGCGAGACCATGACCTGAGCTGAAGTCAGGCGCTCAACTGACTGAGCCACCCAGGAGCCCCAGCCAGATATGTTCTAAGCCCTTGCTTCTCAAAAAAGCATGGTCACCATACCAGCAGCACTAGCATCATCTGCGAACTTGTTGGAAATGCAAATTCTTTGGCCTCACATCAGACATAATGAATCAGTAACTCTGAGAGTAGGGTTTAACAATCTTTTTTACTAGCCCTTCAGATCATTCTGATGCATGCTCAAGTTTGAGAACAACTATTCTAGATAGTGAGGATATGGTGTTAAAGGAAACAAAGTGCTTGTCCTCTTGGAGCAACAATATACAAATAGCTAAAAATAAAATTGCAGGGATGCCTGGATGGCTCAGTGAGTTAAGCATTGGACTCTTGATTTCAGTTCAGAAAATGATCTCAAGGTTCTTGGATTCAAGCCCCGTGGTATTCTGTGCTGACAGCCCACATCCTGCTTGGGATTCTCTCTCTCTGCCCCTCCTATCCACCCCTCTCAAAATAAATAAATAAACATTTAAATAAAATAAAATTGCGACAGAGGTGTTATTGGGGAAACCAGAACATGGGATAGAGGGAGAATGTAGAGGGGACTCAGTCAAGGTCTCTCTGAAGAGTTTGAGCTCTGGAGTCAGACTGAGCAGGATATGAATATTGGCTCCACCAGTTACTAGCCTTTTTAAAAGTTAGTTTCCTGCTAAAATGGAGATAGTAGTATTACTTACCTTATAAATTTACTCTGGGGGCGCCTGGGTGGCTCAGTTGGTTGAGCATCTGACTTCAGCTCAGGTCATGATCTCATGGTCTGTGAGTTCGAGCCCCACGTTGGGCTCTGTGCTGACAGCTCAGAGCCTGGAGCCTGCTTTGGATTCTGTGTCTCCCTCTCTCTCTGCCCCTCCCCCGTTCATGCTCTGTCTCTCTCTGTCAAAAATAAATAAACATTAAAAAATTTTTTTTAATTTACTCTGAAGATTAAATAAGATGTTTGCAAAATTCTTGCAACTGTTTTTGTCACAGGGTAAGTAAGCCCCTGATAAATATTAGCCCTCCAAATATGAAGGAGGAGTGCTATGACGGATATTTGTAAATCATCAATGTAGCAATTAATAGTAAAGTGGATGAAAACATGGCTAGACAGATGCGAGAGAAGAGGGTGGATAATGGGATCTTGTTGGTGTGGCAAAAGTGGGTTGGGAAGTGGTGAGGAGGTAAAGAAAGATGAAGAAAGAGAACTTTTATCTGAACCTAACTAAAGCTGGAAACTTGGAAGAGGAGGCCAGTGGATAAGGTAATTATACTGGTTTGCCTGGAACTGAGATTCTTGGGAGATGGGATTTTCAATGCTAAAACTGGGAAAGTCCTGGGAAAATCGGGATGAGTTGGTTACCCTACAAGTGGATAGGATCACGAGAATGAAGTGGGGATGGTAACTACCATGCCTTTCTTTCTTGGTGCCCTCTGATCTTCTCCCTATAGTAATCTTGTAAAGTACTTTCCAGGGGCTTGATTCAACCAGGAGCCAGAGGGCAAGGGAGCTTGGGTAATGCAGTGGGGAAAAGTCATCCTTTGCTGGACAGAGCAGGATAAGGAAAGACAGAGAATGGACCTGGAGGGGCAAAAAGATAGTAACTAGCAAAATGACAAGGGATTAGAATTGTTTGGGATTGGTCTGACTCCAGACCTTTTATTCTTTTTCCTGTCTTGTCCAAAAAGTCTAGAAATGGTATGGGTGCATGTTTTCTGCATCCTCAAATTAAATTTAAGTAAAATTATAAAGGTTATCCAAGGATATTCTTTGGTATCCGAGCAGCCCACAAAACTTGTCTGTTTGTTCAGTGGCATGAATGCTATGTACAAGAAGGAGGAAGTAGGATCTAGCTGCTCCAGGGATGGAGGTCCTGGAGAAAATCCCCACAGGTGCCTTCGGTTGCCCTGGGATCTTCTCCCAGCTCACTTCCATCCAGCCCAGAAGGCTTACTCCTCACACAGCGCTGTGGCAAGGGTCAAAGCTCAAAGGCCACCACTCTCCTGGTACCGCCTTGCGAAGCCAGAGGGCCCCGACCGCCTGGCAACCAGGAGAATCTCAGGCTCACTTAGGTTCAACAGACGAGAGGAACCGAGACCCGCCAACCCTACCCAGATTACAGTCTCCGGGCTCGTCAAAGGTGCTTCGTGATTGGTAGGACGGCATAGGGGCGTGGCCTCATGTAGAAACCCTCCTTCGGATTGGTGCAACTCGTTAGGGCGGGGCCTCCACTCTGGCTGGGCGCGAAACCTCGAACTGTGTTGCCGGGCTGGAGACCGCGGGAGCGGCTGCGCTCCGGCTAAGGGACCAGGAGACCCGCTCCGTCACAAGCGAAGCGCTAGGAAGCCGGAGTCATGACGGGCGAAGTACTTTCTGAGGTGGGTTCGTGCACTTGCCGCCATCCGCGGCTGCGGAGGCCTGGCTCCGAGGGGCGGGTTGGGGTAGGGGTCGAGTCGGGCGGAGCGGGTCGCGGCGGCACCGTGGCGGCGCGGCGCGCGGCCGGGCCTGGCGGGATGGCCTCTGGGGCTCGCGACTCTTGCGGTCCGGTCCCGCGGTGGGCTTCCCGCGCCTCGGTGAGCTAGGCGGCGTCGCTTCTGGTCCCTTCCGCGCGCGCAGCTGGCCGCCCAGCAGTTCCTCAGCCGGCCACGCCCGCCCACCTCCCCTTTGGCGCGTTTCCTGCCGCCGGAGTTCTTCCTTGTCCAGCCCCCCAAAAGAGGAAGGCCTGGGCAGACCCGGGCCGCTAGGATGCGGGGCGGGATTCTCGGGAAATGGACGGCGGCAGTCTTTGGGAGTTCGGAATTGGATCTACAAAGGGCCTGTGAGGTCATCCAACGCGACCCCGAAAGAAGTAGGAGTGTCGGGCCCTCTCGGCTTGTGGCTTGATTGCTGGCAGGATTGGGCATAGAAGCATCTGTTTCCAGAACCCGGTTCTTTTCTGGGGCCGGGACTAGTGTGGGACACTAGCCTTGGGAGCAAAATTTAAGAGGGCTCCCCAAAGTCAGTAATTAAGATAATGTTTCAATGCAATTTTTAAAAATAAAAGTTAAAGCAAAAATTCCATTATATGGTTTGGAACAAAATATAAAACTTTTAAATAAAGACAAGATCTGACCCTGCGCTTGCACTACTCCACTTCAGGTGCCTATAATCCTGGCCCTGGTTCCAATAAAACTTTATTTACAAAAGTAGTAGGCTGACCTCATGAGCCATGATTTGCCAGTTTGATTTTTTGTTTGTTTGTTTGTTTTTAATGTTGTACTATTATCTCAATTACAGGGGTTTTTGAGACTTGACTCTGTTCTTGCCCTGTTCCTGGCCCTGACTGTGGCAGATACTGCTATAAATTGCATAGAAGAAAGTTATTAAAGCATGTACTGAGTCATGTGGTTATCTAAACTCAGTTTCCACATCCACAAAGAATCTTACTGCTTCAGGTGTTGGGAGAATCATCAACACATATGTGATGATCCTCAGTGATTCCTTAATACCTGTTATCTTTGGTTATTATTTTAATAATTATACCAAACATTTAAAACAATTTAATAGTTGTTAGAGAAGCCATTAGAGTGAGTAATGCTCGACTACATTACAGATGTTAATATCTGCCCCCCTATTAAGTCAAGTCAGAGCCCTAAGAACACCAGGGATGTAGGAGACCTGGCCTCTAGGGTCAGCCTGGTTACTTGACTGGTCATGTCACCTAACACACCCATCCTACTTATACTTTTTAGTTGTGATTTTTTTTTTTAATGTTGTATTTATTTTTGAGAGCCGGGGTGGGGGGCAGGGGCAGAGAGAGACAGAGATATAGACTCCAAAGCAGGCTCCACACTATTAGCACAGAGCTCTGTGCAGGTCTGGAACCCAGGAACTGGGAAATCATGACCTGAGCCAAAGTCAGAAGCTTAACCCACTGAGCCACCTAGGCACCTCTACTTGTGACCTTTAAAATGGTTTTATTTGAGGGGCACCTGGGTGGCTTAGTTGAGCATCTGACGTAGGCTCAGGTCATGATCTCACTGTTTGTGGGTCTGAGCCCCACGTCAGGCTCTGTGCTGACAGCTCACAGCCTGGAGCCTGCTTTGGATTCTGTGTCTCCCTCTCTCTCTGCCCCTCCCCCACTAGCACTCTGCCTCTCTCTCTTAAAAATAAATAAAAACATTAGAGAAAGACAAATATATGACTTTGGTAATATGTGGAATTTAAGATACAAACCAGATGAACATAAGGGAAGGGAAGCAAAAATAATATAAAAACAGGGACGGGGACAAAACATAAGAGACAAACGTAGAGATCAAACTGAGGCTTGTTGGAGGAGTTATGGGTTGGGGGATGGACTGGGCAAGGAGAATTAAGGAAGACACTTGTTGGGATGAGCACTGGGTGTTATATGTAGGGGATGAATCACTGGATTCTACTCCTGAAATCATTACTGCACTATATGCTAACTAACTTGGATGTAAATTTAAAAAAATAAATAAATAAAATAAACATTAAAAAACATTTTAATGGTTTTATTTGGAAATTTTCAAACATATACAAATGTAGAAAGGCTGTATAATGAACCTATCACCTAACTTAAATAGTTATCAAATCATGCCAATCATGTTTCATTTATAGCTCATCCACTTTCACCCTCACTGGATTATTTGGAAGCAAATTTCAGATATCATTGCATCCAAAAATATTTCTTTATACATCTCTAAAAGATAAGGGCTTTCCGAAACAGGTAACACAAATATTACCACACCTAAAAATCTTAGAATTATTGCTTAATACTAAATAGATAGTGTTCAGATTTCATTGAGTCAGATGTATACTTCCTGTTTATTTATTTTGTTTTAGAAAGAGAGAGAAAGAAGTCATGAGCTGGGGAAAGGGGCAGAGAGAAGAGAGAAAGAGATAGAATCTCAAGTAGGCTCCACACAGCGTGGAGCCCAACACAGGGCTCAATCCCATAACCCTGGGATCACTGCCTGAGTTGAAATCAAGAATCGGATGCTTAACCAACTGAGCCACCCAGGTGCTCTGTTTATTTGAATCAAGATCCAAAGTCTGCATATTGCATGGGGTGCCTGGCTGGCTTAGTAGAGTATGGGACTCTTGATCTCTGGGTTGTGAGTTCCAGCCCCACGTTGGATGTAGAGATTACTTAAACAACATTAAAAACAAAAACAAAATGTGCATATTGCAGTTGTTGATATGTGTGTGTATGTGTGTATATATCTTAACTCTATATAGGTCCCCCTTCCTCTCTTTCTCCTTTTTTCTTGAAGTTCATTCCAAAAGTAACACACGGTTTGTCCTATAGATTTTTTTTTCACATCAGGATTGCAATTCTGTGATGTTATTTAACATGTCATTTGGATACACCGAGAAGCAGTTCAAACAGAAAATGTGTAATAAATGCTTGATTCTTTTTATGTACCATTACTCAAAATGAATCATTGCTTCTATAGTATCCTTCAAAGGTGAACAGTGAATTTTTGTGTTTTTCTTTGTCCAGTAATTCTTAATGTCATCCCTTCATTTCAGCCTGCTGATCCTATGATGATTTGTGTATCATTATGTACTCAGAGCTTTCTGTCACCACCTGGTTAATGCAAAGTGTGTTCTCATTTTCTAGGTTCATCTAGAAATCAATGATCCAAAACTTATCTCACAGGAAGAACCCGATAGTCCTTCAGACAGTGGACAAGGCAGCTGTGGAACAATTGTGCCCTTGAGTGATGGAGGTTTGTAATAGTAATTTTATTTTTAGAAATAGAATGTGGAGGCCTGGGTTATAAGTGGATTGGATTAATTTCATTATTCTCTTGATTCTTTAAATTATTAATGCCTAACCTTATTGTTTGTCTTATTTATTATAAAAGCAAAATTATAGTGCATATACTTTTTTGAAATTAACCATTTCTATTATTAAATGTGTAAAATGTCTAGAAGCTACCACATTGCATGGTTGAAGGCATTCATCCTTTAATAAATGATTTTTAACACCTACCAAAAGAATTAGAACAACTTTACACTTTGTAAATATATATAATTACATTTCTCAGTAAGAGACATTTCCAGGGAAAATGGTTCTTAAAACCTATTTTTAGATTTGCTTTGCTACAATCAGTTCTTAGTGGTAGTTACATAATTTCACAAGGTGACACAGCAGTTGGGTAATTGGATGTTTTTTAGGAGTAGTGGGACCAGGAGGAGGACAAAATAATAGTAGATCTCTGAAAAAAATTATGTTTTCTCCAGATTCAGATGAAGAGATATTTGTGAGTAAGAAATTGAAAAGCAGGAAGCTGCTACAAGACAGTGATTCTGAAAGAGAGGACACAAATGCTTTTCCAGAGAAAACTTACGACAGCGTTGAGGAGGAAAATAAAGAGAACTTATATGCCAGAAAAAATGGAAAAGTCAGAAGGATTTACAAAACTCTGGCAGACAGTGCTGGAAGTGACATTGAGGAGTCTTTGTATCAGGAAAATCTTGAAACCCAGGTGACGCCTTGCTTAGAGCTGAGTCTCCAATCTGAAAACTCTGTGGACTTTACAGTTGACAGAAAGATTTCCAAAAAACCCAAACATGATAAAGAAAGAATGGAAGGAAAAGCAAAAGTAAAATCAAAGAGAAGACTTGAGAAAGAGGAAAAAAAGATGGAAAAAATCAGGCGGCTAAAAAAGAAGGAAACAAAAAATGAGGTATATTTAAATGAATGAATTTGTTCTTTTTCTGTTTTTTATTTTATTTTGAGAGAGAGACAGAGACAGAGTGCGAATCAGGAAGAGGCAGACAGGGAGATACAGAATCTGAAGCAGGCTCCAGGCTCTGAGCTGTCAACACAGAGCCTGACGTGTGGCTCAAACTCACAGACAATGAGATCGTGACCTGAGCCAAAGTCGGATGCTTAACTGACTGAGCCATCCAGGTGCCCCTAAATTTGTTCTTTCTAAGGCAGATTAACATCTTAGAAAAAAATGCTTTTAGTTCTTGAGGTTTCTGCACTTAGAATATAGCTTCAAGTTGATTGGTTTGTATTGCGAGTAATGAGGTATGTAATTTAAAACTTGTTGGTCTCATTCTCCGTAAATGGATTTCTGATTTTCTCTGCAAGCACATGGAGTATTGCTGCTTGTTATCTGATGAAAATGAACTTTCAGAGGAGTATTTTTTTAGGCATCCATAAGTCAGAAGTCTTGTTTGCTAACTAGAAAAAAACATCTTTTTATAAACTAGCTGTTTGATAAGTATTTGAGTTTTTAAAAAAAATATTTACTTTTTACTAAGTTGGTTTTGGACAGTGGCATAAAATCACAGCATGGACTTCAAAAGATGGCTGTGGGTAGGAACCAGGGAGAATGTTCTAAAATGCCAAATATTTGTCTACCGATACATTATGGGCTTTTTATGGCCTGGTCCAAATTACCTTATGATGTGAAGTATTGGAGTTTGGGTGATTGGATTTTGCTTTGTCTTTATGCATTGTCCAGGAAGATGATGTGAAACAGCCATTTAATGATAGTGGCTGTCTTCTTGTGGATAAAGACCTTTTTGAAACTGGATTGGAGGAAGAAAATAACTCTGCATTAGAAGACGAAGAGTCATTAGAATCGATAAGGGCAGCTGTGAAAAACAAAGTAAAAAAGCACAAGGCAAGTAAAAGATGATTGCAAAAGAGCTAACCCACTGCTCCTAACCTTTGCTTTATTTTCTTTCTTTCTTTTTTAAATGTTTTTTAATGTTTATTTTTGAGATACAGACAGAGCACAAGTAGGGGAGGGGCAGAGAAAGAGGGAGACAGAATCTGAAGCAGGCTCCAGGCTCTAGCTGTCCACACAAGGGCCCGACTCAGGGCTTGAATTCACGGACCGCGAGTTCATTGACCTGAGTTGAAGTTGGACACCCAGCTGACTGAGTCACCCAGAAGCCCCTTCTTTATTTTCTGATTTACTATTGAAACCTTTTTTTTTTTTTTATTTTAAAAAAATTTTTTTTTTCAACGTTTTTTTTATTTTTTTGGGACAGAGAGAGACAGATACGAACGGGAGGGCAGAGAGGAGACACAGAATCGAACAGTTCCAGGCTCTGGTTTTCATCAGCCCAGAGCCTCGACGCTGGGCTCGAACTCATGGACCGCTAGATCGCGGACCTGGCTGAAGTCGTGACGCTTAATCACTGGCGCCACCCAGGCTACTCATTTTTTTTTTTTTTTTTTAATGTTTATTTATTTTTGAGACAGAGAGGACAGAGTACGGGAAGGGTCGAGAGGGAGACACAGAATTGAAGCAGGCCCAGCCCGAGTTTCAAAGCACAGAGCCCCATGGGCTTGAACTCACGGACTGTGAGATCATGACCTGAGCTGAAGTCGGATGCTTACCCGACTGAGCCACCCAGGCGCCCCTGGAACCATTTTTTTTTTTTTTTTAAGAGAGAGCACGTGAGCAAGGGAGAGGAGAGAGGGGCAGAAGAAGAGAGAGAGAGGAGAGAATGGGTGCTGAAAGCCCAACACAAGCCTCGATCCAACAACCCTGGAATCTGTGCCGAAATCAAGAGCTAGACACTCAACCGACTGAGCCACCCAGGCACCCTTAAACTTTTTTTTTTTTTTTTTTAATGTTTATTTATTTTTGAGAGAGAGAGAGAGAGACAGAGCACAAGTGGGAGGGTGCGAGGACAGAATCTGAAGAAAATTCTGACTTGAGCTGTCAGCACAGAGCCTGATGGTGGGGCTCGAACTCATGAGCCATGAGATCATGCCCTGAGCCGAAGCTGTCATTTTTAACTCCAGAAAAACGTGTGGCAATTGATTTCAGTTTTTTGGCTGTTAATTTTAGAATCATGCAATGCAAGTGATAGACATGCTAACTTGTATGGAAACTAGTATTTTAATTGCCCTCATCGGAATGTTAGGGGGAAAAAGTAAGATACTTTATATTGTGTAAGAAGCAGGTAAGTAATGGGACGGAGGTATACATTTTATAATCCTGTGGCCTCTAAGAAATGAACCTAAAGTGTTTCTGGAGGGGCATCAAAGAAAAGCAGCAGTCAAAACCTCATTGTCCTGAGTGTTTGGAAGCACAGTTGTTCTTGCTAAGATTACCTTTAGCTCCCTGGGAGTCATTGTCCCTCCTTAGGGAAAGATGAAATAAAGAAGTATGAGGAATTAGGGCCCAACCTTCACTTGAGATAGCAAATTTTTTTCTAGGCATTATAGGATGCTGTATGTTTAAAACTTTCTATTTGATAATTACTGACTTTTTATTAACATAGCATGATGTGATGTTGGGGTACAAAAGCAGTCTTTTGAGTAAGCAACGTCTCTTATTTCGGTTTAATTTTTGTCCATATTTTTCAACTTGTAATCTTCTCTTTTAGAAAAAAGAGCTGTCTTTGGAGAGTGGGGTCTATTCATTTGAAGAAGAAACTGAGTTATCGAAAGGCACCATACGGAAGGTGGGATAGAGCTCTGTATGTTGTCATGTCGGTTTCTTTCCCCAGGAGATTGTGGATTTCTGAGGGATAAATGTTTTATCAAGTCTATCATATTTTCCTGGTACCCATGGTATTGCTTTGTGTACAGTAGGGACACAGATATGGATTGTATTGAATTCAATGTGATATGCAAATAAATGGTCTCCCTGTGTTTATTTTTTAATTTACTTATTTAAATTCAAGTTAGTTAGGGGCGCCTGGGTGGCTCAGTCGGTTAAGCGTCCGACTTCAGCTCAGGTCATGATCTCACAGTCCGTGAGTTCGAGCCCCACGTCGGGCTCTGTGCTGACCGCTCAGAGCCTGGAGCCTGTTTCAGGTTCTGTGTCTCCCTCTCTCTCTGCCCCTCCCCTGTTCATGCTCTGTCTCTCTCTGTCTCAAAAATAAACATTAAAAAAAAAAAAATTAAAAGAAAATAAATTCAAGTTAGTTGACATACAGTGTAGTATTGGTTTTAGGAGTAGAACCCTGTGATTCATCATTCATATTATAACACCCAGTTCTCATCCCAACAAGTACCCTCCTTAATACTCATCACCTATTTAGCCCATCCCCCACCCACCTCTTCTCTAGCAACCTTCAGTTTGTTCTCTGTATTTAAGAGTCTCTTATGGTTTGCTCCCTCTCTGTTTTTATCTTATTTTTCCTTCCCTTCCCCTATGTTCATCTGTTGTGTTTCTTAAATTCCACATATGAGTGAAATCATATATTTGTCTTTCTCTGCCTGACTTATTTTGCTTAGCATAATACAGTCTAGTTCCATCCATGTTGTTGCAAATGGCAAGATTTCATTCTTTTTGATTGCCAAGTAATATTCCATTGCGCGTGTACATTGTGTATACATGTAAATACACACACACATATATATACACACCACATCTTTATCCATTCATCAGTCAGTGGACATTTGGGCTCTTTTCATAATTTGGCTAATGTTCATAGCGCTGCTATAAACATTGGGGTATGTGTGCCCCTTTGAATCAGCATTTTTGTTATATCCTTTGGATAAATATTTAGTAGTTTATATAGTACTGAATTCATTAGTGCTTACTTTTCCCTCTCTATCCTCTTTTCTTGGAGAGGGCAAACTCTTGAAGGATGAATGTCTTTCTGGATAATAGCATTAACATAGTCTCTTTGTTTTCTTTAAGGAACGGAAGGCAGCCAAATTAAGTAAGGAAGCGTTAAAAAAACTGCACAGTGAAACTCAGCGCCTTATTCGAGGTAATATAAACCAGTACAGTAACTTTGTGGCAAATCACAATATTTCTTTGTAAGCTCCACTTGGATATTGGGGAATTTTGGTTTTTTTAATACTCTTAATATAAATTATAATACCAAGTTTAAAATTGATTTTGGTGAATGGCCACTGTTCTAAAGCCTCTGAAACATAAATATAAACTGAGAAAATTTCCAGAACTGTATTAGTGCTAAGGAGGGAGTGTTTTTTTTAATGTTTTTCTGTGGACCAGCTGTATCAGGATTTGGGAGCTTTTCAAATGTGTAAGGTGTTAGGTCCCACAGAAATTCTGATTCAGTAGGCTTGAAGTGGGGTCCAAGAATCTGTATTTTTTATTTATTTTTTAAATGTTTGATTATTTTTGAGAGAGAGAGAGACAGCATGATCAGGGGAGGGGCAAAGAGAGGGAGAGACAGATGATCAGAAGCGGGCTCAGCACTAATAGCAGAGAGCCTGACGGGGGCTTAAACCCACAAACCACGAGGTCATGACCTGAGTCCAAGTCGGTCACCCAACCAACAGAACTACCCAGGTGCCCCAAGGATCTGTATTTTTTAAAAACTTCCTGGATCAGTTTAATTTCACAACTAGGTTTAAAAGCCACTGGTCTCCAGGGAGTTCTTTTGTAGTTAGATCCTGTCTTTATTAAAGCCAGGATTGTTTTCTTTTTTTTTTTTTTTTTTTTTTTTTTTTTTTTAAATTTTTTTTTCAACGTTTATTTATTTTTGGGACAGAGAGAGACAGAGCATGAACGGGGGAGGGGCAGAGAGAGAGGGAGACACAGAATCGGAAACAGGCTCCAGGCTCTGAGCCATCAGCCCAGAGCCTGACGCGGGGCTCGAACCCACGGACCGCGAGATCGTGACCTGGCTGAAGTCGGACGCTTAACCGACTGCGCCACCCAGGCGCCCCAAGCCAGGATTGTTTTCTATTTCTGGTGATGGCTTTCACTGTGCTGTTTAGTTGACTGAACATGAAGTGACATTTCAGAATATACAGTATGTGTATTTGCTTGTTTTGTTCCATTTTGTAGAATCTGCACTTAATCTTCCGTATCATATGCCAGAGAATAAAACCATTCATGATTTCTTCAAACGTAAACCTCGACCCACTTGCCAGGGAAATGCCATGGCGCTACTGAAGTAAGAATTCTCTTTCCTTGAGATTATAATTTTCGTAAATATTCAGTTTTGTAGCAAACATCTGGTGTAAAAAAGTTCAGATTCCTCAGTCTCTTAAAACTGTTATAATGGATTCATTATGTGCTGAGATGAGAGTTTCACACTTAGGATAATTTTCAATTTGAGCTTATTTTCCCCTCTCTAGGTCATCTAAGTATCAGTCAAACCATCACAAAGAAACCATAGACACTGTAAATACAAGTGAGATGAATAATGGCCACCATAACAAAGATTCTGAGCAGACAGTGTGTGTGGGACATGAACTGGAAATTAACGCACTCCCTGCAGTTTCAAAGGAACCCCAGATCACTACTGGATCAGGGGAATCTTGTAGTAAGGATATAATGGGAAGTGAAGAGCTAGAAATTCAGGAGAAACAGAAGCAGGGTGATGGCAGACCTCCACCTGAGGACAGCTCAGTGGCACATCAGGAATCCAGCTTCCTCGGGAATGAGGACAATGAGGTGTGTCAGGCTGGAGGGCTTATGGCACCTGAACCTCGTGCCCTGGAGGGAGAAGAAGGCCTGAAAAGAACAGAAGAAGCAGATGAGAAGGTGGAAGAGCCCAGGCAGCAAACTAAATCAGTAGCTGTGCCACTTGAAAAAGCAAGGAGGTTCACTCTGGATAGACTTAAGCAACTGGGAGTAGATGTTTCCATTAAACCTCGGCTGGGTGCTGATGAAGACTCCTTTGTGATACTTGAAGAACCTGAAACCAACAGAGGTAATCCTTTGAGTTGTGGGGAGCCTCCAGAGTGATTTGTTCTGGCAGATTTTTGTTATTTGCTACTATTTGGGGATACAGAACATAGGAGAAACCAATAACTGCACACATGAGCTTACTCTATAGATACCCAGATGTGGGTACAATTCTATTTAGATAAATTTGGCAGAGCATCAGGATGTCCTCAACCTTGTTTAAAATAGAAGCCTATTGGGGCACCTGGGTGGCTCAGTCGGTTAAGCGTCCAACTTCTGCTCAGGTCATGATCTCACAGTCCGTGAGTTCAAGCCCTGCGTCGGGCTCTGTGCTGACAGCTCAGAGCCTGGAGCCTGTTTCAGATTCTTTGTCTCCCTCTCTCTCTGCCCCTTCCCCACTCACGCTCTGTCTCTCTCTGTCTCAGAAATAAATAAAAAAAACATTAAAAAAAAAATAAAATAGAAGCCTATTGATAGGTTAACATACAAAAGAAGTACATTGCTGTCGCGTTATTGTATGACATTCAAAAAAGCATTGTTCATGTTTTTACTGTTAAAGGAAAACATTTTGGTTCAGTAAATTGTCTGCAAAACTGAATTTCTTTTCTCCCGAAGTCATTTAAGAAATACTAAACTATCCATGACATGCAAGGTGCTGTAGGGCATACCAAGAGAAATGTGATATTTATCGTACAGTTAAGGTACTTACACTCTTGTAGGGGAGATAATAAGTATGCAAATAACAGTAATACAAGAGAGAAAGTGGAAAGTGACTTCTATAATGAGCATGTATCACTGATAATTGGAAAAATTAAATGAAGAAAAGGGAAAAATAGTCTCTGCTGAAAGAAACATTTAGAATAAAGTGCTATGGCAGTTTAGAGGAAGGATAAGTTTCTCCCAATAGGTGGTTAAAAGAAGGCTTAAAGTGTAGGTGGATGTAATTACTTGTTCACTGCCTTTCCCTTTATACTTTGAATAGGGATCTTCTGGCTTGTTCCCTACTCTATCACTGGCGCTTCCGCAGAGGATGACACATTGTAGGCATTTATACTGGATGAGTGATGAATGAATGAATGATCCTTCAAGACAGAGCTCAAGTATTACCATATTAGGTAGACTTCCTGACTAGTAGATAGAATTGGATATTCTCTTGTCTGCACTGAGGCAGTTTGGCATGATAATTAAGAGCTTAGGCTCTGTGGCAAGAGCAAGGTTTGAATCTGGGTTGTGCTATTTACTGTTTAACTTTGAATATGCTATTTGACCTCTCTGAGCCACCTTTTTAAAAATTTTTTCTTTAAAGGATATCTGGTTCATAGGGCTATAGTGAACATTTGTTGAAATCATGCATAGAAATGGATAACATAAAGAAGCATTCAAATGCTTGCTCCTACTTCTGTTATTAGTGAAATTATTTGTATTAAAACTATAAGAGCTTATGGTTGGTGGGTGCTCTGTTATCCACAGTATCTGTTGTGTAAAATATGCTCAGTGAGTCTTTGTTGATTGAATGGGTGGGCTTTGTGGAAGTGGAGAGAAGGACATTCTTGGAAGGGACAGAAAGAGTTCTGCATGGTATTATTGGAAGGATGTTATAAATCCATTTGACCAGAATAGGAGATGGGTTGGAAGGGTTGTTAACAGAACTAGCATAGATCCATTAGCAAAGAAATAGGAGATTTTTAAGTTTATTTATTTATTTATTTTGAGAGAGAAAGAGAGAAAGAGAAAGCAAACAGCGGGGGCAGAGAGAGGGGGACAGAGGATCTGAAATGGGCTGAGAGAGAGAATCCCAAGCAGGCTCCATGCTGTCAGCGCAGAGCCCAGCACAGAGCTCGATCTCATAAACCATAAAATCATGACCTGAGTTGAAATCAAGAGGCGGTCACTTAACTGACTGACCCACCCAGGTGCCCTGAGATTTTTTTTTTTTTT